CAAACAGTCTGTGATGAGTTGTTCGTATAAACACCAACACCTCCAGGTCCAGTGGTAGCCTCTGAGACATAGTTTTTCTTTTAGGTCCAGTGTGTGGCAGTAGCTAAACGTACAGGGAACTGGGTCCTGATGCCTTAGACTGGAAGCACTGGTCTGGAGCAGCAGTTCCTAAAGTATGGGTCTGGACTCCACCAATCAAGCAGTCTGTGTTTTAGAGCAATCACACTACAGATGAAACATGAAAAAGATCAAATCCAATGAGTTTGTTCAGTCCTGGTTTAACAGCCTGGGTTTAATAGTCAGTCTTTGGTTGGGGACTCGGTTCTCTTCCATTCTGGTTCTTTAGGTTCGAATCTGGACATCTGAAAAAGTCCCAGATTCATGAATCGTCAGATGAAGGTTAAGTTTAAATAGCTTTCCTCTCTTTAGGGGCGATTATTCTGTTTAAATGAAACATCTCAGGTGGGTGGAGTCAGCAGGTCTGCTGAGACATTTAACTGTGTCTCTGGACCAATGCAGCAGAATTCCCTCCAACTCTCTGCTAATTATCAAAGTATTTGATGTTATTCAGAAAGCAGATATAAAAGGTTTCCTTCAGGGACTGAAACTACGACGCTAAGATGGATCCATCTTTCTGTCTCCAGGTCAAAAGTCACTGAGTATTTATTGAGATAAATAAGCAAATAAAACCTTTGAGCGAGTACCCAGCCCTCATCGTTAAAGACTAAACTGACATTAAGAAAACAAATTATTCATTCAGAATCTGTGAAAAATGAAAATGTTTATTTTGGATTGAAGCGATTCATATTTGACTGAAACACAGGAAGTAACCGTCACACCTTGTCACCACCTGCTCTATACATCTACAGCCCAATCAGCTAAAGCAGCCGAAGCTTCAGGAACGCTGTGCAGCCAGGAGAGCTCGGCCAATCAGAGAGACACATCTGACCCTGAGAGATACCATCAGGCCTGTGCTTCTGGGAGCTACGCCGCCTCTCTGGCTTTTCAGGCACTCAGGCCTGAGAAAGTGTGGATTTCAGACGCCGCGGTCGCAGCAAATGAAGGAAAACGTTTCTAGGGATAAAAGATCCTAATCTGGATTATCAGCATCTCTATCGATACTGGAGCCTAAATGCTCTGAGCTGCAGAGTCGACTTGTGGCAGAATAAATAAAGACGGATAACGGCATAAATTACAGACAGGCTGCTGCTGCCCTCCTTTGTTTCAACGCCCTGACGGAGGATGCTGCTCCTGAATCAAATCATTTCACTGCTATCATCCACAGTTTCACTTATTTAGATTAAATATAAACATGTTTGTCTTTAATCTACAGATTTCACTAAATAGCTGCTTACGTTTTAATTTCTAGGATTTTTCTATTAATTGAAAATGATTGTAGGAGTTTTAGAAAATGTTAAGGTTGGAATAGGTAGCATCATTATTCAATAATATTTAGCTGCTGATTTTATCAGATTTACACAAAAAACTATTTTTTTACTCTGAGTTAAAATCACTATTTTACTATTATTTATTGATCATTAGTTTTTATTGCTAAAATAAAAACAAAGTAATTATAAACACATAAATAATAATGATATCATAATAAAATAAAAGAAAGTTATTTTTTTTAGAACAGATTAAAATAAAAACAACTGCCAATAATTTCACAATAATCCATTAAAACTAAAAATATTTGAGATGCTAAATTAAATTGGCCTTTTTCTGCAGGTCGATTTTTTATTTTGCCCAATTATTTTTTCTGCAGGCCTAATTTTATATTTTAAAAAAGGTTAAAATTGGTTATTTTTAACATCTTTATTTAATCTATTTTTGCATCTTTTTGAGTTGGCCTTTGCTGCTCCATGCAGCATCAGCACACATGATGCATCCGGACGTTTCATAACAGCCTTAATCTGAGCTTAGTTTTATTTATTTTTTAGCTGCATCGCATTTTAGGGTGTTTCAGTTTCTCTTTTCCCTCCTCCTGACAAAAGTTGCTCCCAGAGGAGGAGAGGCGCAAGGAAAGGAAAACATGGCAGAGAGCAGGGGGACTATTTCCTGTCCGTCAAGTTCAAAACACAAGCTGTTCATAACAAACCAAGAGGAAATTATAATTATAATAATAACAACAAAAGTTTAGAAATCTAACATTGCGCTTCAGAAAGAGAAACAAATTCACATTCTTTTAAATCATGCATATTTAAAATCCAGCATTTCTGCTCTGTGCTGCAGAAACTGACTAAATGTTAGAAGTCAGGATCAGAAAGAAGAAGAATCCTAAAGCTAAACATGAAGAGGAGAAAGAAAAGGACTTAAAATGAGATATACTACCATGGATGTTGGGAACATTTTCAAATCGTTGTTTGGCATCTACAAGACAACAGAATTACTGATGCAGCATCACAATTGTCTGCACACACACACACACACACACACAGCAGGGAAATCAAATTCAAACAATAATATATGCAAAGAGTTTGTTTCTGTAAGTTACTGTCAAACAAGCACAGAAGTTAAAGGAATCAATAAAAGCTGCAGGGCGCGAGCTGAGCGCGCGGCGGACAAGGTGCGTCTCCTTACCGCGCTGAAATCCAGCAGGTCGCTCAGCTCCTTGTCTGTCCCCAAAGCTGCCATCCGCTGCTGGTGATGCATTTTAGCCAAATCACCTACAAACATGCAAACAGCAGAGACGGATGGAGGGACAGAGACAGGAGGAGACCGAGAGATGGAGAGACAGCGGGGAGAGGAGGAGCAGGAGGAGCAGAGGAGGAGGAGAGGGTTTCTGTGCGCACCGGGTCGCTTTTCCTCCACAGCGGAATAAATCCAGAAAAAGCTTCTAGTTCTGCTTCATCCTCGGAGCTTCACTCGCTTCAGCCCCGGTCTGGTTCCTGGTTCCTGGTTCCTGGTTCCTGGCAGCAGGAAATAAAACAAACTGACAGGAAATCAAGAAGAAGAGGGGAGTGGGTTCGCGTGGGTTCGCGTGTTTTCTCCACTCGCTCTGCTTTTCCAGCCGAAGCGCAGCTCGTAGAAAAAAATCACCTCCTCGCTCTGAGTGGGAGTGGGTGTGTGTCAGTGGGAGAGTCCGCGCGGGCTGAGCGCTGCTCGCAGGCCGGCTGGCAGTGCCCTCCTCTCGGCTGCGGTCGCTGGAGATCCCCCGGTGCGCAGGACGGAGCCCATGTGCGTCTGGCGCTGCGTGTGCGGGGCCGATCAATGCGCGGCTCGGTGCGGTGCGGTGCGGTGCGGTGCGGCCACCTGGCTGCAGGAGCACCAACTCTCAGAGCTCCTCCGAAAAGACAAGGAGAAAAGATTTGATGCTTTGATTGACTGACTGTTTGATGCGCTGATTGGCTGCTTTTATTAAGAAAGAATCAAAGGTGAACATCAAAGGAAAGTTCAATCATTCCGCTGCAAGTGACGCATGGATGCAGAGCCTTTAATTCTCTGCATGTTACCGACAAAGAAAAAGAAAAACCCAGTTTCTAAAAAAAAAAAAAAAAAAAACTACGGTGTAAGAAAAGTTGTGTGTGATGTCATAACCCCCTCCACGCGGGCCGTGTCACACTAAAGGTCACTGTACGAAAAACTGAACGGTTAGGAAGGAAAGTTGAGTGGAAGGAAAAGGTGTGTGAGGAAAAAAGTTCATAGAATTAATCTGCAAACTGAGAATCTGATTAAATGACTTTTCTAGATTAATTCAGTTCCGCCGTTTAAATGTTTATTTCTGTTAATACTGACGATCGATACTGATGCTTAATGAAGGTTTACAAACACAGATAGGAGCTCCATCATCACATTTATGGAAAATGAAGAAAAAGAAAGTGCAGCTCAGAGGATGATGAAGAGGATGATGAAGAGGATGATGAAGGTCTGAAGCTGAGCAGCAGGTTCCTTCTGAGGGAGAAGAGGCTGGCCAGATGTGGCTGCAGCTGGAGCCAAAGCCTGGGAAGGTTTTCTCATCCATCAGGCCTTTAGTTCACATCTAATAAAGAAACACCTGTCATCTGCCCCCTGGTGGAGCACCTAAGAACTGCACGTCTGACTGCTTCTTTGTCCTGATGAAACTTTATGGATTTCTCTGGAAAATCTTTAAAATAAAAGTGATTGTCTGGAATATTCTGTAGTAGAGTTATGCAGGAAGTGAACGGGGAGCTTTTGTGCCGCAGCTGTCAGTCCAGCAGGTTTTAGGGGATTTTTTGTTATTTAAAAAAAAGAACATAGATGAATCCCTCCTTTCCCAGTCGGTGTTCACCTTGAGAAAATAATTCCCTCCTGTATTTGACCCTTTTTGCAGGTAATCAATGTGATACTGATAAATGTACCAATATTGCTGAAGTTTCTATTAAAAATCTAATCTTCTAAAAGGCAAAACTTTCTGTTGCTTTTTGTGGAAAGACTAAAATCTCCCCGGAATCACGGAGGTCATTTCCTGGTGCTGCTGTTTAGGGCCTCCGGGCCTGCAGGGGGCCCCCAGAAGCACCTTTGTCTCCTTAAGGTGTCAAAATAAATGGTGAACAGAACAAGAGGAAAACCAGCTAAAGGCCGGGCTGGAGGTTCTGCTTCCAGAACTAGAGACACCATGGTGGTTCAGATGTAGAGCGGCCTAGTCAAAGTCCAAAGCTAAATCCAGCTGAGCAGCAATAGCCCATCCCACTATTAACATGGAGATGATGTTGTTCACTCAGCAGCTCCAGCTGGTTCAGAATGGAAGCGGATCATCAGTATTCAAGGCTAGTCATGGATGCTAAGCTGGATTTTAGCTGTAAACTTTGACTAGGCCATTCTACATCTACACCTCCATCCCCATGTCCTCCAGCAGTCCAAGGTTATAGCAGCATAACTATAGAGATAGAATGAAGCAGAAAAAGGCTCCCCATGGCCTCCAGCAACATTTGATTCACTCAAACAGCCTCTAGTTACTGTTTTTTTTTCTTCAGCACATTTTTCCTCGACTTAGTCTTCAATTAATACAAAGATCATCTTTTATAAACATGGGAGCATTTCCATAACCAACATTTATCTCTTCTTCATTGCACACAAACATACGATTTTATGTCACATTTTCTTCAGCACATTTTTCCTCAACTTAGTCTTCAATTAATACAAAGATCATCTTTTATAAACATGGGAGCATTTCCATAACCAACATTTATCTCTTCTTCATTGCACACAAACATACGATTTTATGTCACATTTTCTTCCTTCCAAACAACTTTCCACGGATAGCATTATGCTAACTTTAGCGTCTGTGAAGAAATACAACTTTATTAGTCGTCTTCTTACAGCATAAAAAACTAGATATGCAGACATGAGAATCTTCAGCGTCACATTAGTTATTAACAGAATAAATAAACAAATATGGGTTTAAAATATTTCTTAAGGTTTTTCCTGCATTTGAGAATAATCTGATTAAAGCGACTAATTCTAAAATCTGCAGGTTTTTTTTATTTCAAATGAGCTGAAAGGAAAAAATGCAGTTCTAACAGAAAAAATAAGATCAACAACTGCAGGTGAAATAATGTGTTTTAATTAAACAGCCTCAGAAACCAAATAAAGCAACTTCCACCGATTCTGATTCAAGGATCAGAAACAAAATGTTTTAAAAACATTTCCTACATTTTAATGGGGCGAGTCCGTCTGTGGAACAGAACAGGACAGTTATCAGCGTGTGAAAGCAGAGGAGTTACGCAACAACAGCGGCTGGTTTAGTCTGAGTTTGAACCTTGAAACTCAGCAGGAACACAGAGATCCAGCCTGACACCAAACGTCCGTCACATCTGGGTCACAACCGACAGCAAACATCAAGCTTTGCAGAGAAAAGGTTTACCTGTCAGGAGGAGGAGGAGTTTCCAGGTTCCCTTAACCTTAAACGACCACTGAGAAGATCTAAGGTCCAGACGACCCGTTTATTCTGCACGTCTGTTCCAGCCTGGAGGGAGATTTAAAACTCAGAAAACTTTTAATATGTGAAAATTTATTTCTCTACTCTTTATTCTTTATTCTTTTACGCTTTGCTATAAGCTGCTTAGAAAGAATTATTAGGAATTATAGTTTTAGTTGTATTTTTCCAGATATTTGGCTCATTTTAATAATAATAATAATTATTATTATTATTGATAATAATAATAATAATAATAAGGCGCCATGTTTGAAATCCATTTTGAAATGGATGAAAGAAGCTAGAAAAGCTAGAAAGGCTAAGCTAACCAAACTGGGCCAAGATGAAATGATGAAC